GAAAAACACATTTTTATTGTTTTCCTTTTAACAAGAGACTACAGTGTAATAAATACAAGCAATTTTCCAAGCGTAGCTTAGATGTGGCACAAGGCCGAAAGTATGGAGCGCCCAGTGAGTATAGAACTCACTACTCGGTCGTAATTGTTCTAGCGAGAAAAACTTGCTAACCATTACAATATTTATTTCTGTGAAAATACAGAAAATGTGGCACAAGGCCTTAAAAAAGAGGATGAGAAAAAGGACGGTGTTCATCTAAATTTTAAACTTAGCTAGCCTTAAACACTATCCCAAGCATACAAACGATATTCCTAACACCAAAAGAACACATTCTTACTTACCTTTCTTACTACATCCACCATAATACCTCATTGTCTCAATGAAAATCCTAAATCGTCCCCATATGTACGAATCATCGTATGTGGAAGTGGGAGGCGATAAAACAACAAATTAAAAAAAATCCCCAATGAGTATGTACAATATGAATATAATCTATTTACAAGAAACTAAGCAAAATCATGGTATTAATAAAAAATACCACAATCCTTCGTCGGCATCCGTCAGTCTCCAGAGGCGATGGAGTCGCGCGGTGCGCTACGTGTCTGGGCGGGACATATGGAGAATTAGGGCTGCCCAGACGTCTAGTTCCCCCTCTCGGCTTTGCTAGCAGAGTCCAAAGGAGAGGATAAACCAATACAGTTTGGTACCAGCGCGGCTGCAGGAGTTGCCGGAAGGTAGCACAAAGTGCCGTCCATCCGCCTTAGGGGCTCCAATCCGGGTTTGAATTCAGAGTTGTCCTTCTCTTAGACCAGTTGCCATCCAAGGCTATAGAACCCAGTCTGTCCTGATATTTATCTATAGCTGGAGGGAGAAGAAGAGGATTCACACCTTTCCCAAGGGTAAGTGAATGTAATGGATTCGACTGGAATTCGAACTCGGCTCTCCGATTCCTCAAATGTGACAGAAAATCAGTTAACTGGACGAAATCAATGTGGGACTATAAAAAATATAAAAAAAAACATTCATTCATCCCTAGCACTCACAAAAATGATTTTCTAAACGTAGCTTAGATGTGGTACACGGTTGAGTGTGTAGAGCATTCAGTGAGGACCGAACTCAGTCGTAATGGTTCTAGCGAGACAAGCTTACTTAACCATTGCACCACCTTAAATTGCCTACAGTGTAATAAATACTATGCTCTCATTGGTCAGTAAAAATGATCCATAAAAAGCTTGACTAATGAAAAAAGGGAATAAACCGGATATGCAAGCAAGCTGTATAAAATGAAAGGATTATTTTTACTGAGTCGTTGTGAGACAAGTCCGCGATGGAAATAACGAGACCACGCACGCACACACACACACACAGACGTCCGCACTCACACACACACCTACATCCTCAATCAACCGCCACACACACACACACACACACATCCACAACCACCCAACCAACCCCACCCACACACAACACACACCCACACACACACTTATACACACACACACACACATCCACAACCAAACAACAAACCACACACACATACCCCACACACGCACCTATACACACACCCACAACCAACCAGCCACCCACACACACACCCCTATACGCACACCCACACACACACCCCTATACACACACCCCCACACATCCACAACCAAACAACCACCCACACACATCCACGACCAACCAACCCCACCCACCACACACACCCCACCACACGCCCACGTAGATGTCTTTTTGACTCTGAAGTTAGAACAATTGGAAATAAAGGAATAAGTTCGTCACTATCTTTTGACACTAATAGAAATAGAGAAGAAACTGAATTTGCATTTGAGGTACACAAGAAATCAGGCATTGGCACCTTTTTCCGAACGGCAGCTCGCAATATCTATGGCTCCTTGCAAAATGGACCGAACTATTTAAAAGATTCAAAGTAATTTTTCCTTTTTTGGTACCTCAGCTATTTTCACTACAGAAGACAATTAGTGTAAGCATATAACTTAGAAATAATGGATTTCTGGTTTCAATATGCTATGAAAACGTCCCCTCCCCCAAATTTATAGACAACTCGTACAGATGCATGCTGGGATTTCTTCCTAGTCAATAAAATGGACCATTTCTCGATTTCATCCGCCATATTATTGTTCTTTCTTGTCTGGAAGTCAGAATGCTATGATCACTTGACTGTATCTCTTTTGCCTGTTAACACTATTCTTAATTTATAAACTTTTTGCCTTATTACTATTGCTTTGCCTACTTTTTTTCTTGCATATACAGGAATCCCTCGATTAATGCGCATTCGATAAGTGCATATATAATACTCGATTAGTGCGGTAAATCATTCTTCTGTTTAACTATAGTAATTGATAATTCATCTTTTCATAGTTACCGATTAATTAAAAATTTTCTAAAATTTAAAAATGGAAAATGGGTAACTATTTTGTTTGTTAAGTATTACGTTATCTAAGTAATTACAGTAGTGTTTAAAAAGTGGACGGTTATAAATAGATACATTTTATAATTATTCGGACTATTGTCCTCATCTTTGTCGCCATATTTATTACAACGTTTCGGTTGTTGTACGTTCCGACCTTCTTCAGGTGGTTGGAATGTCGAACTGAACCCTTTATTTCGCTCACTGGGGTAGACTGTTCCACGTGCCATGTTTAATGGATGTCAGTTATCAGTTATCTCCTGTTAATTCACCTCTGGAGGCCTGAGTGGTTTTTTCCTCAGTTGGGAAGAGAGTTGGTCTGACACAAAACGATTTTAACCTGTTCTCTTTCTAGCTGAATAACTCAAAGGGTTTTTTGTGTAATTCTTACGACAAATGGTGTCAAGATGGTTAAATGTCTAATCTGATGAATCTAGAAAAAAAGAAAACCAATTTTTTTTCTTGTTGTTGTTTTTTAGATATTAAACATTTTGTGGAATGGAGAATTATGCAGTTACACGATTTGGACATTTTTGCTGTTACACCAGCGATATTATTTTGCCCTGTGTTTTCTTTCCGTTGTTAATGCTTATTGGTAACTTTGTCAATTCCGTTTGTCGGATATCTTTGCCAATTACATTTTACCACGGCTAATTACTCTGCAGCGAAACGTTGATTTTTTTCTTTGAAGAAAAGAATTAAAAAAACTGAAGCCTTGGTATAATACTAAGAATTAAAAAACTGAAGCCTTGGTATAATATTAAGAATTAAAAAACTGAATCCTTGGTATAATATTAAGAATTAAAAGATTGAAATCCTGGTTTAATATTAAGAATTAAAAAACTGAAGCCTTGGTATAATATTAAGAATTAAAAGACTGAAGTCTGGGTATAATATTAAGAATTAAAAAAACTGTAGCCTTGCTATAATATTAAAGATTAAAAGATTAAAAACTTGGTATAATATTAAGAATTAAAAGACTGAAGTCTTGGTATAATATTAAGAATTAAAAGACTGAAGTCTTGGTATAATATTAAGAATTAAAAGACTGAATTCTTAGTATAATATTAAAAATTAAAAGACTGAAATCTTGGTTAAATATTAAGAATTAAAAAACTGTAGCCATGCTATAATTTTCAGGATTAAAAGATTGAAATCTTGGTATAATATTAAGAATTAAAAGACTGAAGCCTTGGTATAATATTAAGAATTAAAAGACTGAAGTATTGGTATAATATTAAGAATTAAAAGACTGAAGTCTTGGTATAATATTAAGGATTAAAAGACTGAAGTCTTGGTATAATATTATCACTATCGACAGTGTGATTAACACGTGTCGCTGCGTGTGATTTATCTCTAATTTATTCATTTGAAAATAAAAACATATACTTCTTTTTTCGCGAAAAAAATATTGTGAATGTTTCCTGCTTCAAAAGCAAAAGATAGTTAGACGTATGATCTTCCTTAGTAAAAATGGTTTAAAATGATGAAAACGTTATTCCCCAAAATTTTACAAAATTCAAGAAACATTGTACTTAATGATTGTTTATGTATGTGGTTATGTATGAGAGAATATGTGAGTGAACAAGAGAGAATGAAACAAAATACAAATTTTAAGAGACGTTATTTTGCTTAGGTAATTAAGCGTACCATTCAGAATGACCAAACGGATCGCATGCGACCCGCTGGACGGAGGTTTCCCATGATTGTACTAAATATTTACTTTATTACCTCTTTGGATCTGGACTCTCACAGGGAGTTCATACACAGCGTCTAACTCGGTCAGCTTTTCTTTTCTTTTCACACCAAACAAGGGGAGAAAGCCACTAAGACGCAACGGGTTACTGGGATTGAAATAAACCGAGAAAACGTTATTGAGGAGAGAGAACGTGGAGTTTTTACTTCAGAAAAACAGGAAATGACGATTGGCAGGCACTGCATTCACATTTTTGAAAATCGTAGTTGACAGGGAAGCGATAAGCTGAAAGAGAGTTTCACAAGTGAGAAATGCGAGGGAAGAAACTTTTAGCATAGAATTTACGGTTGCATCTAGACATTTCAACTGTAAAATGATGAGACCTATCTGCCAATCTAGTACTGCTCAAACCAGCACAGACATTTATCTGGGAGGTATTTTAACAGAGGAAGAAAAACGTAACGCCGACATTCGAAGGCAAAAAGTTGCCTTCCAAAAAGCTAAACAATATCACTGCTCCAATATGGCGGTTAATCCTGGTGTATCTTGTGACAACTGCTAAGTCGATTTCCAGGTGTGTGTTGAAACTTGACTAATGCATGGAATAATAATGCAACACAAAATGTACTTAGAACAAAATGTATTGAAACAAGAAAGTGTACACAATATTTACATATAGTCTTTTGTATATTCCTGGTAAGACCGTTCCTGGAGAATGTGTTGACTGAGTCGCAGTCGGGCAGAGTCTCTGGTTGAATCTCTTGATTCCTCCCTCTCTTCCCGGTACCAACCATATTTATATGGTCGGTACTCCACTATGCAAATTAGGTGGATCCTACCACAACAGTGTGGTAATGCCAGGAGAATGCACTTATGAACCGTCCTCATACAAACTCTCTCACTCTTTTTCTGTCTTTTCTTTCTCTTTCCCTCGCTCTCACTCTGTCCCTCTTCTTCAATATCTTTCCCCCCCTCTCTCTCTCTCTGTAAGCTCCAACAGGATTCTCTTAACTTTTTCCTATCAGTATTAATTAACCCAACGCTCTTTTTATCCTTTCCTCAATCAACACTTTACCCAGTTTTTATCTTTACTTTCACTTTCTGTAACCCCTTGTATTAGCACTCCTCCCCCCTATTGTGAAATGCTAAAAAAACAACATAGAAACTCTCAATTCTTCCCCTTTTCTCTCAATCGCTCTCTCCTCTTTTTCCACACACTCTCTCTCTCACTCTCTCTCTCTCTCTCTCTCTCTCAATATCTCTTTCTCCCTCTCTGTAAATTCCAACAGGATTCTCTTAACTTGTTCCTCTGAGTATTAATTAACCCAACGCAGCTAAGATATGAACCGTTCACATAGAAATCCTCACTCTTTCATTCTAGCCCTCTCTCTCAATCTCTCTCAATCTCTTTCTTCTATCTCTCTCCTCTCTCGCTTCTCTCTCTCAATATCTCTCTGCCTCTCCCTCTCTGTAAACTCCAACAGGATTCTCTTAACTTGTTCCTCTGAGTATTAATTAACCCAACGCAGCTAAGATATGAACCGTTCACATAGAAATCCTCACTCTTTCTTTCTAGCCCTCTCTCTCAATCTCTTTCTTCTATCTCTCTTCTCTCTCGCTTCTCTCTCTCCCCCTTTCTCTCTCAATATCTCTCTCCCTCTCCCTCTCTGTAAACTCCAACAGGATTCTCTTAACTTGTTCCTCTGAGTATTAATTAACCCAACGCACCTAAGATATGAACCGTTCATAGAAATCCTCACTCTTTCTTTTTCTAGCCCTCTCTCTCAATCTCTTTCTTCTCTCTCCTCTCTCCTTCTCTCTCTCCCCCTTTCTCTCAATATCTCTCTCCCTCTCCCCTCTCTGTAAACTCCAACAGGTTTCTCTTAACTTGTTCCTCTGAGTATTAATTAACCCAACGCACCTAAGATATGAACCGTTCACATAGAAATCCTCACCCTTTCTTTCTAGCCCTCTCTCTCAATCTCTCTCAATCTCTTTCTTCTATCTCTCTCCTCTCTCGCTTCTCTCTCTCCCTCTCTCTCTCTCAATATCTCTCTCCGTCTCCCTCTCTGTAAACTCTAACAGGATTCTCTTAACTTGTTCCTCTGAGTATTAATTGACCCAACGCAGCTAAGATATGAACCGTTCACATAGAAATCCTTACTCTTTCTTTCTAGCCCTCTCTCTCAATCTCTCTCAATCTCTCTCTTCTATCTCTCTCCTCTCTCGCTTCTCTCTCTCCTCTCTCTCACTTTATCTCTCCTACTCCCTCTCCGTAAACTCCAACAGCATTCTCTTGTTCCTATGAGTATTAATTAACTTTTCTTAACCCAACACAGCTAAGATATGAACCGTTCACATAGAAATTCTTACTCTTTCTTTCTAGCCCTCTCTCTCAATCTCTCTCTCCTATCTCTCTCCTCTCTCGCTTCTCTCTCTCTCTCCTCTCTCAATTTCTCTCTCCCTCACCCTCTCTCTAAACTCCAACAGGATTCTCTTAACTTGTTCCTAAGATATGAATCGTTCACATAGAAATTCTCAGTCTTTCTTTCTATCTCTCTCTATCCCAATCTCTCTCTTATCTCTCTTACCTCTCTCTCTCAATCTCTATCTTCTCTCTCTCTCTCTCTTTCTCTCTCTCTCTCTCTGTAAACTCCAACAAGATTAATTAACCCAACACCCTTTTAATTCTTTCCTCAATCTCCTCTTTATCCAGTCTTTTTTCTTACTTTTACTCTCTGTAGCTCTTTATATTAGTGGCACTCCCGTCTTGCCTATGGTGAAATCAACATAGAAACTCTCTCTCCTTCTTTTCTCTCAATCTCTCTCTCTTCTCTCTCTCTCCCCTCTCTTTCCTCTCTTTTTATCTCTCCGTAAACTTCAACAGGATTCTATTAACTTTTTCCTATCAGTATTAATTAACCCAATGCAGGTAAGATTCCGCCACTAGACTAGCGTCTATCTCGATACATACCACACCGGAAAAACACTTCCGATGATTTATCTTGTAAAATCTCTCCGACAGAGCACATCCGACATTTCCACGGCACAACAGACAGTCGAGAAAAGCCAAGCCATCTTAATAAAACAAACAATCTAGACGGTGAGATTAGAGTCCGTAACAAACACTAAAGAAAGAATCTCAAAACTCTGACCTAAGGAACACTTCCGGTCAACTATCAGGTCATCCCATAAATTATGTCCGAATTTTACCTTTTTTTAAAAATGAACGAAATTTAAAGAGTATTTTATAATGTCTAATGGAGCTGAACATTATTTTTATGTTTAGATGCATTTAAACTGATCAAATTTTATTTCAAATAACAATAAAATTAAATTTTGTTTGATTAAAACCCTGCTAACATGGAAGTACCCAAGAATCATTTGAGGCACATAATGCTTTATGAGTTCAAGAAAGGAAACTCAGCAGCCGAAGCGGCTAGAAACATTCACTCAGTTTATGGAGAGGAATGTGTGAATGAAAGAACTTGCAGAAGATGGTTTGCAAAATTCAGAGGTGGAAATTTCACGCTTGAAGATGAAGGTCGAACCGGACGTAACAATTGAGTTTGATGAAAAGCTTCTTGAAGCACCCCTTGAAGAAAATCCTGCTTTAAAAGTTGAGGTTCTCAGTTCAAACCGTACAACTGTTCATCGTCATCTTCAATAACTTGGAAAAGTTCCTAAACTTGGAAAATGGGTGCCTCATGAATTGTCTGAAAACAACCTCAAATCTCGAGTTGACATCTGCTCTTCTCTCCATTCTCGCCAACTTGTTTCACCTTTTTTGGATAGACTTGTGACGAAAAATGGATCTTTTATCGAAATGTTAAGCGTCATAGACAGACGAGAAGGGAACTTCGTGGGCAAAAGGTTCTTCTTTCAATCTGGTGAGATCGCCAAGGAATAATCCACTTTGAATTCTTACCACCTAATGCAACAATTAATGCTCAAATATACTGTCAGCAATTAGAGCGTTTGAACCAAGCTTCGAGGAAAAAAAGACCTGCTCTAGTGAATCGAAAAGAGGTGATGTTTCATCAGGACAATGCGCGACGCCACACAGCAAGAATCACGTCACAAAAGATCGAAGAACTTGGTTGGGAGAAAATTCCTCATCCACCTTATTCTCCCGATCTTGCTCCTTCAGACTACCATTTGTTTCGTAGCTTACAGAATCATTTGGAAGAAACAGCTTTTGTAACACAGGAAGAGGTTAAAACTGACATTTGTGAGTTCTTCGAATCAAAGCCAAAAGAATTTTACAGTAATGGAATTAGTAAGTTTGTTAATAGATGGAAGGAAGTCATAGATAATCAGGGAAAATACATTGTTGATTGAATCTGTAATTAAATGTAACATTTGGTCACTTGTTTTCTGTATTCAAAATTCGGACGGAACTTATGGGATGACCTGATACATGAACATCCGGGTGTCACTAAGTAATTAATCCAATAGACTCTTTACTCGCAGTTAAAGAATTGATTTCTTTTGTATCAGAAAATTTGAGTAACACGTGTTGGGAATTGGTCAGGTGCTCACCTACGCAATGGCACTACTACCCCACTCCGGTCATGAGACTAATGATGAGGGTATAGCAGCAGTTTCCAGTTTTTAAGTATATTTTACGCATTGACTGGGTGTTCGATTGGGACATGTAAAAGAAAAATTAAATGAAAAATTCAACAGAAATGTGGTTCTACAGAAGGATGCTGAGGACGCCATGTATCGAATATGTGAGCGACGACGAAGTTCTAGAGAAAATGGAAACAAAAAGGAAATTTATATTAAACATCAAGAAGAGACAGTTGAAATATTTTGGGCACATAATGAGAAAAGAAGGCTTGGAAAATCTGATACTCACAGGACAGATTGAAGGCAAGAGGGACAGAGGAAAACAACACACAACATTCGTAATGAAATTGAATACTTAGATGGTGGAACAGGGTTTAGGAAAAATAACAAAAAGACATTTTATTAAGAGCTAAAATAGGAAATTGTGGAGAACCATGATCGTCTACGTCCTGAGGTGACACGGCATATAAGAAAGAATGTCTAGGTGATTAGCTTTAATTTTTCTGTCTGTGTGTCTTGTAAACTCCCATATAATTGTTACAGGTCCTATCTCTGTTACCGGGTCTGGGTGGTGTTTATATCAATTTCTTGCAGTTTCCATTCCGTAAAAGTTGCAGATTTTCCAGAGCGTTGTACGATTTTAGAAGCTTAAGTTTGGTGAAACAGAAAAGTTTCGTTTGAAACAAAGAACTGTTATGTAATATCAGTCCCCCTATATGTCTGTGAAATCTGAACAATCACCGCACAGATGAAGAAGAGACTTGAAGTAACAGACATGTGATTCTACAGAAGGATACTGAGAATACCACGGGCGGAACATGTGAGCAATGAGGAAGTTTTAAAGAAAATGGAAACAAAAAGGACACTTATACATAACACCAAAAAGGGACAGTTGAAATTTCTAGAGCACATAATGAGGAAAGAGGGCTTGGAAAATCTGATACTCACAGGGCAGATTGAAGGCAACAGGGACAGAGGAAAACAACACGTAACATTCGTATTGAACTTGGGTAAATGGATGGTGTTTAGGAAAAATAACAAAAAGACAGAATTTATTAAGAGCTACGAAGCACAGGAAATTGTGGAGAGCCGTGATCACCTAAGTCTTGAGGGGACACGGCACATGAAAAAGAAAAATTGCAACATAGTGTACGGCAGCCATGCATGAATATCTGAAAACTAGAGAAGAAAAGATGAAGAACAACTAATTTACGTTCTGACTCTATATATAAAGTTGTAGGCTTTGTCTGTCTGTTTATTAGTTATCGAACTCCACCTAGAGTTTTGGAGATAGACCCCCATAACCATATATATTCTGAAAATACATTACACAGGGTTCATTTTGATCAATAAGCCCCCACTCCCAACACGCACACACGCACACACACACACACACTGAATTGTTTCCCTTCGATTTAAATTAAACTTAAATTTGAACAAGGGAATGCCAAGTGTACTTGGATAAGTATATTTCATTTTGATCAAAAGGGATCCCCGGGGAGCACACCCCTCCCCCACTGAATTTTCTTCCCCTTTGATTTAAATTAAATTTAAATTTGAACAAGGGAATGACTCCTATCCAAAATATAGAAGGAGAAAGCCAGAAGATGGAGGTCACATTGGTAAGTTCAAAATGAGACAATATGGACGTCAAGTTGAGCAAGAAATCACCAATCAGTAGGTAGTGCCTTACAGTACATATTTGTTGCGACAATTCAACTGCCATATCAATGTTGAAATCCGTTCATCAATTCAATCATGTATTGCATCAAATACATATCAAAGGGGTTAGATTAAGCTGTTTTTACACAAACCCCACCACTGACTTTTTTCACTTCGATTTAAATTAAGGAGAAAGCCAGAAGATGAATGTCACAGCGGCAAAATCATTGAGTAATATTGAAATGCATCATTTTTCTCCACAAAATATAACAATGATTTGAAGCTAATTATAATTTTCTTACAAAAAATTGTGATGCGAGCAAGGCGCGGGTAATTCGTCTAGTTCACTTATAAAACATTAAATGTCGGTCAAGAAATTTTCTGTATAGAAACGTCCATTCTCACCATTAATATTCTTCTTTTTTCTTTTTATGTGTCGTGTCCTTTCAGGACGTAGGCGATCATGGTTCTCCACTTCCCCCTATCCCTTGTAGCTCTCAATAAGTTTCGTCCGTCTTCCGACTCCCGCAGACCACGTATTGTCATCCACTTTCTTAAACCCGCAAGGTATGTCATGCGTTGCTTTCCCTTGTCTCTTTTTCCCTCTGTGAGTATCAGATTCTCCAAGCCCTCTTTTCTCAATACATGTCCCAGAAATTTCAGCTGCCTCTTCCTGATGTTAACTATAAGATTCCACCTTGTTTGCATCCTCTTCAAAACCTCATCGTTGCTAACACGCTCGATCCATGATATCCTTAGCATCCTTCTGAAACCATACCTTCGTTGTCTCTTCTTCATCTTTGAGGAGACCGTCCAACATTCGCTGACGTATAGGAGGACAGATGTCACGTAGCAGCTTCGTATTCTTTTCTTTGTCACCAAAGAAATCTTCCTGTCTTGCAATACTCTACCCACCTTTTAGAATGTGTCTTTGGCCATCCAAATACATCTTCGGATCTCAGGGTCGCACTTACCGTCATCCGTCAAAACACTTCCCAGATAGTTAAACTTCCGCGCCTGCTTGATTTTAGTGTCACCGACCTGCAAATCGGATTTCGGGCTTTTCCTTTTACTGACCATGCATTCTGTCTTCTTGTAGTTTATGCTTGGTCCCTTCTTCTTGCCCTCCTTCCCTACCTTCTGTAGAAGGTTTTGTAATTTCTTTTCTGTGTCTTCTATCAGTACTGTGTCATCTGCGTATCTTATGTTAGTAAGATTGTGGACGCCAAAGCTAAATCCCGACAGGATTTCCAATTCTCTCGGAAATGCTTCGCTGTATAGGTTGAATAAGTCCGGTGAGAAGACTCATCCTTGCCTTACGCCCCTTTCTATGTTTTTATATTCGCTGAACTCATTCATTCATTTTGCTGTCAGTATAGGTTCTTGAATATTCTAATATCTTTCCCGAATATATCCAGGTTGCTGAACAGTTTCA